TACCAGCTATCCAGTATCGGGTTTTCGTCGTTGTCGTCGGTGTGTTGTTGTTACTGTTGAAAAGTTGCTTTCATTTCGACTACACTCGCACACACCAATTGACACTCGATATTAACAATTGTACTTCATTCGTACGGAATGCCGTTTATGTGATTTACTGATGCCGATAATAAACTGCTTCACACATGAATTCGTATTCAGCAACTGCTATCTTAATGCTAGAACAAAACAAAAAAGCATTGAACGGCGCGAGAAATACGAACAAACTGGGAGAAAAAAAGAGTAAGTGTGAACGACGAAGGAAAAAAAAGAACGTGTGCTTGACACGTCGCGATTTCACATAATTCACAGCGAAATTATGAGCTTTTGAAAATAAAATTTATACCGTAGGGCCAATCAGATAATTCGGCATCAGCATCTTTCACTGGCACATTTGATTGTTGGCTGTGTATGTGTGTGTGTGTGTGTGTTCGTTGGTGTAAATGAAAGCCAAATTCACACGATCAGCTTCAGAAATTGATGCCGTTAACTTTTCAATGACCGAATCGTCATGCAAAACGAATTTTAACGTTATTTATTTCAATAAAGTCCATCTCCGCATCGATTGATTGATTTCCAGTTCGAAATGAAGAAGAGAAAAAATAGTTTTAAATCAATTTTCCGCTTTTCAATTCACAAAATCATTGCCGATTCTGCTGATGAATACAAATATTTTACACGCTTCATCAATGCTCCGATTTTCGACTTTCAAAGTCATGGGTTATTTGTTGATTTTTCATTTGATGCCAATACGAGATCATCGACATAATTGAAATCCTATGTTTGAAAAAAAAAAAACAAATTGATGCGGTCGCCAAAATGAATATTCCACTGAAGTATGTATGTGCCTATGTATGAGCCTATGTATGACGATGTGTGTCTAACCAATGGAAAAAAGAGATAAAAACCACCAAAGCCCAAGTGTGAGCAATGTCGCCCGGAAATATTTTTAATTTAGTGAGAATGAGTGTTTAGCTCTCTTTCGATGGCGGCAGACGATGATTGTCGGTGTGACGCAAGATAACGATACATTCGTCGTATGTGAGTCCCCCACATACACACACACACATTCATTGAATCCAATTTCCACTCTCAATCTGCATATATGAAATTGTTTCATTTGATTGTTTGGCGATGCGGCAACCCTCTTCGTCATCACCCAACTCCACATTCGTAAATTGAATCGAATTAAAATCAACCGCAAAAATAAACAGCAACCCAACCGAATTCGAATCAAAATAGAAAGAGTGAATGAAAGAAAAGCGGTGGTACGTAATTTGCACTTGAACCTCGTCGTGCACACAAAACAGTGAAAGAATTTTTAAATGGAAACTAAAATAAACAACGCGAATATATGGAATACAATAAAAAGTTTGTTGTTGATTTTTTTGGCGGTTTATTTTTGGGATGGGTTGTTTGTCGCGACACTTCGATCGACCGACTGGCTAAGGGCATGTGGTTGCGTCACATACAAACACTCACACTTTAGTGACATTTGTTTATTATGAATCACACATCGGTCGCATCGCTTCGGTTGGTTTGTTAAAGCAATGTGCGTAGCGTGTTGTTTTCATTCTGGTATTTTATCGAGGGTAAAAAGGGCAGCCACTTATTCGACTCATATGTGTGCCACACTCACTCACTCATTTGATTTAATCCGCAACCTTTTGCTCGGCTGCAGATAAGGTTTCAATTTCGTAAATTATGATAACGAATTTCACACCCGACCATTTTCACTCTTCATTCGGCCAATTTATGGAAATTGTTCACAGTCGAAGCAAAAACATTGATATGACCGTTTCTCATTTACAATCGAAGTAGATCGCTGCTCTTTTGGAAGATTTCAATTTGGGATTTTTTCGGTGAGGCAAGATGAAAAGTGAAAAGTCAGTGTGAAATCAATGTGGTTCGGACAAGTCATAATAATTAAAAAGCCACCTTGAAATAATAAAGCTTATGAACCAATTTAAAGAGCTCGAGTGATGGTTGTTCGTGGTTGATTTTCGGTTGTATTTCGGATAAGCTGGCAATCCGCAAAGAAGACATAAGCCCTTGTGATAATCATGTAATTTTGAGTGCGGTTTTCCGTTTTATCTTTTAGTTTGGGTGTACGTTTTGTTTTAAATGGGCATTTAATCTTTCGTTGTGTTTGTTGAAAGTTCCAAACACAATGGCTCTGTTCTTATTACCGCATTATTTGGTCCTGTTGCCATTTGCATAATACCAGTTATTGTCTGTAGCTAAAATCAACACATATAAAATCAACGCTTTGAAACATTCGCACACCGCAAAATACAAAAGTAAACAACAGAAAATACGTTTGGCATTTTCAAGAGGAGCAACGACTCATCCAATGTGTACGGTGTGCGGTGTGTATGTGTATTTCTGCATGTCAACAGCGTGTGCAGCCGGTTAGTAAAATGTACGAGTTTCGGAACATAAACACACGCTTGAACACTCACTCGCGCGCTGCACATCAACACACTAATTTCGAAAGTGGAAACTAGCATTGTAAATGTGTTCAAGTGAAAAGGTTATCTTTATCTCGGAGTCGAGTTGACTTGTCTCGTACTCTGCGTTTGTTGCCGCAGATCCATTGGCCGCATTATTGCTCTACAAATTTACTTTATTCATTAGATGTGATTATTATTATTTTACATGGGCTTTGTCAAAATCCAAAATGGATGGATAATAGTTGAGGCTTTATGCGAACCAACACACAAACATACAGGATACATGCAATATTTTCACCTTTGCCTCTTTGCTTTCAATGGCTTTTGGGATAATTTCTCGCTCTCTCTCTCCCGTATCTCTCTACCCATTTAAGCGAATAAATAATTTACTATTGCTAAATTAGCGTTAGCGTGGAAAATATACGGAAAAAGTAGCTCCAAACGGTTCATGGAACGAGTAAGGCAGAGCGAAAGAGATGGCAAATGTTTTTGTTTAATCAAAAATCTTGTTATGGAATACTTGTTTGCTTTTTTATAGTATATCTCGCTTGATAATTCCTGATTTTATTATTATTTAAAAGTAATTCCCACAGAAAATTTTGCGAACCTTTTAATTGACACACATCGTTGAGAATTTTAAATTGCTTCTCGTGTGTGTTTATTGCCAATCGAATTCTCATTTCCCTTTTTTTCTGCGCTTTGCGAATGTGTTTGTGTATGTTTGGTTAACAGAAATGAACTCTGACATCAAGATATGCGCTTCGCTCTCTCGCTCACACCAAACGAATGTGTTTACAATGCGAAACCGAAAGGCCTCAATTTTAAACGACCGCTCATTAAGCACACTACAAAATTTTATGAGTGACGCGCACAAACTATCTGCCACAATATCAATACCGAAACCCATTTTACCCGGGCACGTTATCTTAACGCACACAGAGCAAATGCAACGATCGAAACGACCGAACGGAAAAATCACATATCACCGCCTCTCCCGCTTTACGGAAATGTACGGTAATGATTGTGTGCAATGTGCATTTATGTGTATAAATGTCACTCGACTGTTATATGAAATATTTTTCAGACACCTGAACATAAAATTTTATTTCACCGATAAATTTGCATAAATGCTTTTTGTTGCAGTTGTTGTTGTGGTGCTTGTCCGCTTGGTTTGCGCGTAATTCGATTGCGACCATTCGACTGAACAGTTTTCGAAGAGTGAATGCATTTTTGCACTTGGCTCAAAAAGATAGCAGAGCATTTAAGCAAAACAACCGAAAAAAACAAGGAAAACACAAAAAAAACTAAAAAAAACTCGCTATTGGCAAATAGTTTTTTCCGTTTACGCACGAAACATCATTCAACACATTGCGTTTCGTTCTTTTTTTTCTCTCTTCCTTGCGAATGGCAATGAACTTGTGTGCACTATCAGAAAATTGTTCGTATTTCAATGTGACGCACCGATTTTTTATGGGAACGCTAATGGCAAATTCGATACTAATTCTATACGGATTTATTTTTGCCGCATTTGAACAGTCGAGAGACGTGCAACACATAAAAATTCTTTGGTGGAAGAAAAAAATTCGAATCGTCTAATTAATTGGCATCGAAGTGACTTGGGTATCGCAATGCAATTGCAAATTAATACTAAAAATAATGCGTCGAAAGAGCAGTGGAATGCATTTCCGATGGACAAGAATTCGCGCCATATCAGATCCATTAGTGACAAACTGAACAGATTAGACAACCGATGCACGAAACATCATAAACATTCGACTCAAGACCATTCAATGATTAAATATGAACACTTGGCCATCCGGTGGTGGTGGTGGTCAATTTTTTTCTTCTGTCGACGGCGATAAGTCCAAATGGCTGAAATCAGATACAACAGCACCGAGTCAATTTTTATTGAATGTGTGTCTGTGCATCTTCGGGGCCAAACGAACGAAACGGTACTCCAAGTGCATGAAAAATATTGTGTCATTTTCAAACCAAAAAAATAATAAGATAAAACGAGTTCTACAATTTCTTGACTTGTTTCTTCTGGTTTGTGTTTAATCTAAGCCGGCCTTTGGGCGCGCGACATCTGATGAATGTAGCATTTGAAACGATCACGATGCACTATTCCGTGCATGGTGTGTGGCCAAAAAGGCATCGTTTAACACTTAAATTTCGATACTTAAGTATTAAATTAGCGTTTGTCTTCGCCACCTGATCCGCAGCGTGTGCTGCTTAAATGAATCAGTTTCAGCGGCGGTGACAAACGACAAAAGCATCGTGTGATGCCACACAAACATTTGTGAGTGTCTTTTTTTATTCATGTCAACCACACCATTTTATCGAATTATTAATTGTTACATCGTTTTAAGTAATAAAAAATCGTTGGTTTTGAATAGTTGATGACAAAAGAAAAATTTGTTGCCGTTTCATAGAGTCTTAATTCGATTATTCTATCTCTCATAATAGATTACTTCAGCCCTTCCATGCTAAGAGAACGATATGCTTATATTTTTTTTTGAATGGTCAAAGACATTTCAACATTCGATTTAGGCTGCATTCATCCGGACGACACTGAGAAATGAGCGAGAAAAAAACCCATTCGATCGGATCGGAGTCGCGAAAGAGGAAAAAAATGTGTACAACGAACCGAGTAACGCGATAGAACTCAAGTATTTACACATTCCAATCGAATGTAATGTACTGGCTAATAGAGACGATAAAGAAGTCTTGCTTTTTCCTTTTCCTTTCTCGTATTTCGCGGCCATTGTTCATAAATGGAATGGGCATTTGATGCGATTAGTTTGAAAATGGATAAGGAAAAAACTTTATGTTTGTGTCCGAGCTCAGAGCTATGGGTATGAAGTGCATTTGGCATTAATTTCCTTGTAGCCATAAAAAATAAGCGATTTGATTTCGCAGAGAGAGAGAGAGAGAGACAGAGAGGCAAGTCGCACGGTGTGGCAAGGGCAGTCTACTGAAATTGAATGGAATCAGCTAGATGTTCATTGTGTGTCAAATGGTTGAAAATTGTCGCATCGTGTCGCGATTTGGTTGCGCTCGCTGTGTCCAAATCGTGAGATACACTTTTTGCGCTTCGAAGGCACTCTCTGCTGTGCAGTACTACACGGGGCCACGTTCCCGAAACGGTTATGTTCGCGCTGAACCTTTTGACTTTGACCGAAACCACATATCAGCCAGCATCGATGAGAATCAAACGCGATTCGCGCAACCGAAAAACAAAAAACCAAAACGGTTTCCCATTTCCAAACGGATCGAATATGAATCGGGCGAGAGTATTTCTGGGTCAAAAATTAAAGCGATTTTCATAAATACATCAGGTAAATTCTCTAATAAACTCGTTTACGGTAATTCTATTTCTTCTCGGGCGAACGGTCAATGAATCTCATTAAAATGTCGTTTCGATGCATCTTACAAGCAATCCAAATTTGGTCGAGCCGATCGATTCAGTAATTTTTTTTCCATTGCTGCAACTTGAAGAGAAGAAGAAGAAGAAGAAAAAACAGCATCACAAATGGGAAGCATTTAACGTGCACGATGACAGTCAAAAGAAGCCCAAACGGCCGCACGTTCTCATCACAAATCGCAGAGGCGCGGGCGCGCACATACTATAAAACATCGAAACGGTAAAATATTGACTGTGACTTCATGCAAACTCAATTGTCACGACCTTTTCTCTCTCTCTCTCCTCGCCTTTTAATTTCGATTTGCCTCCATTCGACGCTGTGCTCTCTCTCGCAATGCAGCCTAGCCATTTTTATGGGCATTTTCATCTCCCTACAGCTATTATAGTGTGTTGTGTTGTTTTTTTTCGCGTTCATTTTCGACTTTTTCGCATCGATTATGTTTCGTGTGTCTATTTCATTTCATTGCTCGATTCGACTTCTATTACAATCTTTGTCTCGTCATCGCTTGGTGCTCTCTTGTGCATTTCTTCACTTATTTACACGCCGCCGTGGCCACGCTGCAATTACATATCTTGTGGACGAATTAAGCGCGACGATCGGTTTCTGTGCGATGCATTGCGCTTGTTATGATAAACAACATAAGCTTACAAGAGAAAATCACAAATAATTACAACAATCGATGAGCGACGACGAGATGTTCGGTGCTCTATGGCAGCCAAAACATGAAGAAACAATGAATCGCGCTTTTTTCTGCTTCCTCCTCCTCCTCCTCCTCTTCTTCTTCTTCGTGGTTTTCGGGTCGGTTCTTTGTAATTTGCATCGATTTTATCTAATTAAATAAAATAAATCGCGGAATTGGGATCGTTGCGCCACGACTCCTGAGCCACTTCTCAGTAAAACGATCAGTCAATGTTCATTACGCTAATTAATCATTTGAATCTGAAATGCACGAAAGAGCGCACCAACCACCAAACATCAACTACATTATTAAATCGATATCGTTTTGCTAATAGTTTTCCAGTTGTAGACTACGCGACGTGATCTGATACATTTCGTGAATCTCTGGCAGAGAACAGTGTAATTTTGGCAAAGTTTATCGAGGCTTTCCATTTTTTTTTCTGTTTCGTCGTGTCGTAGTTTGTCTCATGTGAAAAATGGAAATTTGTTCGCCCAAAACCACAATAAAATTCGAGTTTTGAGAGAGAGAGAGAGAGAGAGAGAGAGGTGGAGGAGAAAAACGTTCACTACATCGTAAATATCTTCGAAGCGTATAAATAAATTGTCGATTGACAATAATATGGCAAATTTAATCAAATGAACTGACACATTCATTTTACGCTACATTCATTAGGTGTGAACGCATGCGCGTTAAAGCCGAACACTGCATAAGCCACTGAAGCGATTCGAGAGTAATCGGGCTATAAATAAGCCTGCATTCCATTGAAAATCAATTCGAACATTTATTTATTTATTGAACAATCGCCGTGCGCGCGCGATCGCAAGTACAGAGCCGAATGGACAGGCGAATACCGAAACACAAGAAGAGAAGAAGATGTATAAGCGTCTAAATGATCATTAATATCTTTCATCTGTGCGAAGACGATTTACCGCAATGCAACAGAGAGTAAAACCAAGTGCCGAAGAAATATGCGCTCGCGTTCAATGGAAGTGTGAAAATGGATGTATCGTGTGTGTACAAATGCAATCTGAACGAACAAGCAAATCGATGTTTTCATTCTTGTTGTTGGCTTTAACTGTTTTTTTTTACTTCTTTGTATTAATCCACTCAATTCAACTCGAACTCGACTCACAGACATAAACCTTGTCATGTCAAAATGGTACTTTATCAATGTCTAATTGGATAATTTCATGTTATTTGAGAGTGTTTGTTCGTCGGTTAGTTTTCTTCGTGCACCACCGGGCCAATTTATGTTCAATTCATTGGATTCAAAATGACTATGCACTATTCGGCCCGATGTGCATCATCGAGATATGGTGTCAATATCTAGACATTTCCACCAAACTCTGAGAAAGAATGGGAAAAACACCGTTAGCTGGGTTATTTGTGTGTGTGAAAAATTTCGTCGGTGAAATCCATTAATGAAACAACATTTCATTGAATCGACAGTTTATCAAACAGGCATTTGAAAAGTGTACAATACGATTTGCATTGAATAGCCCTTACCTTTTACACATTATTATTATTCTACAGTGTGTGGGCAACCTATGTCACCATGCACTGTGTCTCACCGCGTGTGTATCAAGATCGAAACTGATTTCGATTGACGAAATTCGGATCACATTGATTTTATCGATTCTTCGAACCTTGTCACACATTCTTTTAAGGCACTTAATAGCCACCGTTTCCATTATTTATACAGACAATAGATTTAAAAAAACCTCACAGCAAAATAAAAGTTCTTACTCAGGGATTAAGGTGTGAATTTTGATGGAAAAAATAACTAAAGTGAAAAATAAAAATTAGTTAAAGGAAATTGTTGTGCAAAAAGAAATGAAAAATAAAAATAAAAGGTGCAGGTTAGTAGCGGGTGAATGAGAAAATGAAAATCACACATTTTCTGACTGCGAACACATCAACTGATTCAAGTTGTGTCAGACAAAAAACGATAATATTCATTTCCTGGAAAGAGAAAAATAAAAGCGAATAAAATGGAAAGAAACTGAAACGAAAAATGGGTAAAAATTGGTTAATCTTGAAAAAATGAAATGAAAATTTGTGAAATTGATTGGATGAGAAGGAAAAAGAAATAAAGCAACTAAAAAACTAAAAAGCCAAACCAAAGAGCGCCCTTACAAAGCTTAATAAATGCACACTACAACACAATTTTAAAGAAAAGCGAATAAAAAATAAAAGGCAAACAAAAATAAAACGTTTTGAGCAAATAAAAATGATTGTTGAAAAGCAAAGCCAAAATTCTACAAAAAGCAAAGCAAAATAAAATTATAAAAAGCATTGTTTTCAAAATGATAAAAAGCATCAAAATAAAAATCAGCAAAATAAAATTAAAAAGCGTAAAAAGTATTAGCAAAAAAAGCAGCAAATTATAAAACAAAAGTAATAAAACCTCAAAGAAGCCCCAAAAAGCGATTTTTCGATAGACAGAAGCGATATAGATAAAAAAGAAAGCAAGAAGACTAAAGAATTTGTTGATTTCATAAAAAAAAGTATCCCTTTATTTCGATTCTTTTCGATAAACTTTTTGAAAGTGTTGCCTAACACCTTTAACAGTTTGAAGCCTAAACCTAATCCTAAATGTCTTTCAGCTAAAAAAAAATCTTAAATGAAAAATAAATTACTACAACTGATTGTCTATGGTCTAGAAAACATATGAGCTATGCGTAACAGAAATTAGACTAAAATTTAACTAAGACTTGATTACAAGTAACTAGAGAAAATTCAACGTGAGTCATTGAACGTAACGATATCGTTTGATTTGAGTGTGATTGAATTTGAAGTAACGGTAAAGAGAGCAATTTCGGCGAAAATGGGATTGAAAATGGAAAGGAATTGTTCTGGTTTACCGTTACATCAGATCAAATGAGTGGAAATGATTCAATGTCATCATTATCATCATAAGATGCAGTGATAAGAGCAAATTGAAAGTTCCAAAGGCAAAAGGGCGTGTTTGATGGTACCAAATAGCAGCGCGCAATCTTGTTTCTTTCTCATTTCAGAAAGTCAGGTAACATGGTCCATTTCGAATGAGAGAAATATCAGCACAAAATTTACAGAATAAAGCAACTGAACAGAGAACACAATCAAAACTAGACTACCGTCTACCAAAGCTATACGGTGAAAAGCGAAAATCTGGACTAGTAAATGCACTACTATGACCTGGTCCCACGCTACTGAATGCGGAACAGGTCGGCGAATACCCATCCAATGACGTGTATAGACGTGATGTTTGTGGCGTTTGATGATAGAACAGACTGCTGCTTGCGGCACTAACAGTTGGTGTTACTAGACTTGCAGCCGATACACTTGGCATAAACGGGGTGGGCGAATTGACCGTTCCAATGCTGCCAGTGCTGTTGTTACTTTTCGGCGATGCAAACGATTTGTTTGTGAGATTCGAAGTGTTCAGGCTATTATTATTCGTATGGTAGCCGGACGATGAAAATGAGGTGTTATTTTGATCGCAAATGCTACTGTTATTATTATTATTATGATTGTTCAGTATGGAACTGGCGCTGGTGTTGAATAAATGCGATGCCGTCGATGTGATAACATTTGCGCTCGATGTACTAACCGAATCAACATACATATTGCTTAAATGGTCTTTGACCGCGTGTACCATATCCGTTTCGGTGGTTAATTGCTTATGAATGCTTGTGATTTTGGTTAGTAGTGCCGTCACATCTGTAAAGAGAATATCCAACAGCTTACCTGTTGTGAACAATACGATTGCCTTGAGACATGAGTATTCGGCGGTGTCGACATGCAATGCCTTCAATTTTTCCACTTGTTCCTGGAATATTCGGATGTGATCCATGAACGCAACAACACGATCCGCTGCCAATGGGGATGCATGCAAACCGGCTGCCGCCAACAATGGTGCCACATGCAATGGCATCGAACACTGTGACGCATTCAGCACAAATAATTCAGACCACACGAGACGCAATAGCGCCACTTGATCGGTAACTTGTAGATCGGGAAACAGTGGTATATTTTTAGCCCATTCAACGGCCGAAAAGAGGAGGCGGGCGGCCAATTCGCAGATATTATCGATGCCCATCATATTGTTTGGTTGCATCGTTTGACCATAACGTGACACCGGGTAGGGTTCGGCGCGCAACAACAACGATATATAGGAACTGAGATATTGATGACTACTGTTGTATCCAACGACGGACATTGGATCGCCATTCGCTAAAGAATACTGGCCGTGCATTCCGGGCAAACCAGTTGGCTGTGACGGTGGTACTCGACCTCTTTGAACAGCTAAAACGAGAGAGAGACAGACGAAAAAAAAACAGAACAAATGAGATACAAATTAGGTATTAAAAAATCATTTACGGTTATTTACATATTAATATGGAAATTTGCTTACAATGATTTGGAATAAAGTGATTAATGGACCTGGCTTTTGATTGGAATTCATCAAACATAAGAGGGAAACAACGAGAGAAAAACAGTCGCTTTAAAACAATTTGTATGGCCTTGTAAAATGGCAGTCATCATTATTATTATGGAATCGTAGAAAAAGTTCGATTTTAAAGAGCATTAAAAATATTGACCTTCCGTTCACTTTTCCACTCATTCACTTCGAATCATTTTAATTTATTTGAAGAATGAATAAAAAACCGAATTACCAACACACACACACAGTGTACCGGTGTATCACGGTGCATATATGCGAATGCGCGCGCGATGCAAGTGGATTAAATTGCAGCGTTGCCCGGTCTATTTGTAATTCTATATTATTACAACCGACCGTACGATAATGATGATGACACATATCACGCTACAACTGTGAGAGATCTGAGAAAAGACCTTAACCGGTTAGCATCGGCGGTAATCTCATAGCCTGCACCGCGTACATTTTTATTGATTATTATACTTATGGATAATGAAGATTTCTCAAAGGTGTTTTTGCATGTGTACGTTACTTTAACATGGGCAAAAAATATCCATAATTATCTTTTGATTCGGAGTGCACACATATGCAGTTAGCTGCTGGGTGTTTTTTTTTGCTGTTGTTGCTATTGTTGCGGTGAGAATCCAGGAATCAGACGAAGAATTACTCGTTTTCTTCAAAGTATTGAACAAAGTTCCGATAACTAATCAATCTTTAGAAATATACAATTCCAGAAATGAAAACATTAAACTGGCCAGAGAGTGAGAACTGAAAAAACAGACATTTGCGATGAATATTACTTATTCCATTAAGAAAAATATTTAACTGATTACATCAAAGAGTCATTTGTGTGTCTGTTTTGTGTAAATCAGTTTTTTTTTTGCAATAATCATTTGCATTTAATCAAAGTTCAACATGACGCTACAGAAAAAAATTACAACAGCAACATCAATCGCCTCGAGAACAAAATCCAATCAGAGGGAGACGGAAAAAAATGCTGCAACAATAACAACAACAATCAATTGCTGTTGTCTCTGCGAATTGAGTCGCATAAGCAACAGCCACATAGGCTATATTTGTTTATGAATAATTCATGACGTGTTAAAATCCAGATATAGAAAGACGATTAGATTAATAAAACCAATCATAATGCACACAATACGTTATGAGGCTGAAATAAGGTGTTACTATTCATTTCACAGCTTTTCGTAATGAAAACTGCCCATTTATTTGTTGCAAAATTGAATTTGATTATCTCGACTCGTTCGCTGGTTTTAATAGCTTTGATGACCACGATGTTTTTTTTTACTCGTATCGCTCGCAAGCTGAGAGAACACAACCACAGAGTCTGTGGCACAGACATTGTGATTTATGCCATATCTCAAATTTCTAAGCTGAACGAATCAAATCAAGAAAAAAAACTCTCGTCAATTATACTTTAAAGTCGACATTTCATTATTATTGCCTCAAGTCGACTGTGTGTGTGTGTGTGTATGTGAGTTGCCATTTTCCCCCCTTGCTCAATGCTTATTTACAGGCGAGGCAACCGATCGCAATCGCACGAAATAAAATTCGAGTGCAGAAATTTTAACAGCGAAAAATTATCGCACAAAATAATAATAATTGTTGAGGCAGCCTCAATTAGCTGCTTGTTGTCGATGTAGTGCTAATAATGAACGAACAACAACCAAACAAAGTCCCAACCAAAACGACTCCGGTCGAGAGAGAGAGAGAGAGAGAGAGATATCGTGACAAGGCGTTTTATTCCCGTTCTCGGTGTGTCCGCATGTGCGCAGGCGATCTTTTCTCGTCGTCTTCTTCGTTTTCAGCAACAAAGCCTTTTATACCCATAATTCACGAATTTACTGAGGCATCGCTATGCCGTGCACAGTTCGCGTTCCTTTTTGCATCTCGAGCATTGTCTTTGCGATAACGAAAGCGTCGGTCGTGTTTTTATTGGCTTTTTACATATCATTGCAATAAATTAACATTAACAACGACACTCGAAGGAAAAGTGCTTCGTTTTCATAATGAAAATTGGTGCATGCGAAATCAAGTGAGCGTTTGATTCGACGCGACCGAAGCACCATTATCTGAACTCGATTTCTGGTCGTTTTGTTTTCTCTTCTGATTTCGGGGCAAATCGACACGAAATTAATTGCGCTCCAATTTCTGTAACGATATTTCTTAACCGTGTTCTTTGTTGTTGTGGTTTCAATTTCCTCATCCGTTAGCTTGCTGTTGGCATGGTTCTGAAGATGCAGGCGATCGATTAAAGTCGTGAGCATCTGTTACCAAGTCCAACTCCCAGGAAGGAGAAATTATATTTATTCTTATTGGACTTTATTTTCATCAAGAGGTTTGCGTCACTCAAACTCCCAAGCTTCGATTGACTTGCATTTCTATGAAAATCACACAACTTATAAATTTAATCAAACAATTGTGAATGAATTATTGCATAGCGATAAAACAAAACTGATTGTCACATTGGCTAGCGCTCAAACGCTTGGTGCACGTACGTTTTTTTTGCCGATTTGACATGGAATTTGTAATTCTTGAATTTTTACGTAATTTTCTTCGTCTTTTTATTAGGCTAACTTAAGTTTTCTATTGTTTGAATATTTGGCGTGTGCAGTATCATTTCTCGGTCGATATGCCGGAGATTTCTTTAATTAAAATGGCATATTTTGTCATTTTGCCAGGGAAAAGAAAAAAAAATTTGAAGCCAACGAGGAAAAAAAACGCAAAAAATTGCGACGAAAATGCCAAAACAAAGGTGCTAAAACATGTAAATAAATCATATATATTCACCATAAATTTTCAGTATTGTCATCGTCACATTTGTATGTTAATTACGATCAAATACAATAATCCGTTGCCTGAAGTTAATTTGTTTATGTTGTTGAATGTGGCACGCATCGGAATGCATTTGATTGAAACATTCATTTCAACATTACTAGCTTTTTACGTCGCTGTTGCTGTTGTTGTTGTTTGCCGCTCATTTCGTTGAATAATTGTTCCGTGAATCGATTACGATGGAAATGAATTTGTGGCGGTGATTAAGTAATTAACTTGGCAATTGTTGGGTCGGTTGAGAGGTCAACGATTTTACAATATTTAAACTAATTTTCAAATTTGCTTCATTGCACAAACAAAAAATCGAAATGCAAGACTTCGTTTTTTTCTCACTGTATGCAGTGTAATACAGAGAAAAAGTGCTCGCAATTAATTTGCAATGTCTGTTGCATTCAACGTCCAATAAAAATTGACACAATTTCTTCGGATAAAATAAGCGGAAAACTGAGCGAACAATTCGACGACGTGGAATTTGCATTTTTGCGCTTTATTGCTTTATTATACACACACACACACACACACCTACCGAACGAAACGGCTTGCATAACGAAAACCAGCAAAATTGTTGCGCCTGTGTCGCTTAGGTGTTGTTAGACCCCTGTCGTATAACCCATAATTCACTCAATTGAATTTGATTTCCTTGTCCATTTGCTCTCTGTTCGACAACCTGAACAATTTCTTTTATACGCCACAGCGCTATAGATGGAAAAATGAGCCATAACTGTATACACAGCATGGCAAATGCTGACCGACATCTTTTCGTACACGCGTTCGCAAACATAAGAAATGTGTGCGAATTGTCGTTGTTGTCGCGCGCATCTCGTAACTCTGTGTCAACTCATTAAACAAACCCGCCGCTGAACGGCCCAGACAATTTGTCTCGCGCGCTCACACATTTAAATATGAGGTGGTTTTTTCTTCTTGCCTGAGTGAAAAAATAGCCAGCCAATACACAATTTTTCATGCTATTCTGTATCGATTACATTCGCACACGTAAAAGCCATGCGCACACAAGAAATTCTCATCAAATGCGAGTAACCGAGAGAAAGAGGAGGAAAAAATGCATCGGAATCTTTCGTACGTGTTATCAACGCATTTGGCCAACGATGGCCATGGTGAAAAAAATGCACACTGGAAGACAGAGCGAGACAAAGAACACGAATGTTGTTGAATATCGTCATCGGAATGCTGTGCCAAATATCGTATACGTTGCAGCGTACATAACGTGTACAACAACAGCACATAATTCACTTCAAATATCGAAGTGTTAACCGAACAGCGCGAGACAGAGAGAGCCGGTTCCGATAAATTCTCTTGTTTCTTTCTGCTGCAAAATTGTGCATTTTTTTGTCTACATCTTTTGAAGTGTTTGGATGTAAAATGGTTTTATTTGCGCCAAAAACATGCGGATTCAATGTCCGCGCGCTCGCGCGAAAAGGAGACGGGCGAAAAAAGTGTTGAAGGAATTTGCCACGCTGTGGTTCATTTAAAAATTTACGTTAAACAAAAAGAGTACTAACATACAGTGAAATAATTCTATTTTATGTTGTAGGTGCGAGAACCCAGATGGAGAGAGAGAGAGAGAGAAAGAGAAAGAGTGGAAGAGCCAATGGCAACAGCTTACGGGAAACGAGCTCATATAAATCAGAAAAACCAAGGCATCCGACAATCATAAATGTGAACGAGAAAATGCGGTGTTTGTTAAACATGAATTTACTAGTGCCTTTTTTCTCTCATTTCGTTTGGAGATTTTTCGTGCTGCTTTGTCGTTTCAACTCTATCCGTACACGTGATACGATGTGCCTTGCAGCATTGAACAGCAAATTGAAATCGAATCCTCGCGAAAGCATGTCAAAACACCAAAACAGCAACAACAACAAGAGAAGAGAGCGAATGAGAAGGGAAAATAGCGGAGAAACGATTGTAAATTGAATAATTTGTTCACAGTTCGAAGTGACAGAAACAAATTAATTGGAATTAGGTGAGGAAAATGGTCGGTGCGAATGGC